TCAGAAGAGGCAGAAGTGGATGTGAGAGACAGACACACACAGAGACACAGAGAGCGAAAGAGGGCAAGAGACTTGACTTTAAGAGACTCCTGCACTGACAACTCCATGCAGTTCGGAACAAGAACGGCAGCGACCGACTCTGGTTTCATGGGGACATGGCAGAACACTGACACTAACCTCTTATTCAGAATGTCCCAACAGGTACGTTACTTTCGTTTATTTTAAAACATGGAATTTTTGTGCTTTTTCCCCCCCTCCTTTTTCTCTTTCTTTCCACGTTTCATTTTTGTTTCATTCATCACTACATAGTTAGCCTCTGAACTGTCATAACTATGTCATTGGAATGTGCATGGTTACTTCATTTCTTCCCTAAGGGCTCCTTTTTAAAAGAAGAAAAAAATATTAAAGCCTTAAGTAAAAGCAGAGCATTTGTTTTAAAGTTTCCAAATGGAGCTTTGCTCCGAGTAAGATTGTTTTTCTTTCTTTCTTTGCTTTTGTTTTGTTCCAGCATTTTACCCTTTGCTATCCCCCCGTCCCATAAATAAAAGTATCTGCTATCCCAGGAAAAGTCCTTTTTCTTCCTTAGTGCATAAGCCCCCCAAATCAAACTGATACTAAATTTAGGGGGCCCCTCAGAACGACATAATTGACTTCATGTGGCAGAAATCAGTTTTATTCAGGGGGAAGGAGCGACGAGCTGTCCTGCTGGAGCTGCTGCCAGCACGGAGCTGAGGGTCGTTAGAGGAGACAGTTTCAGTCCTCGGGTCTCTCTTCTCCCGCTCCCTCTCCCCGCTTGCTCCCTCTCTCGCTCCCCCTCTCTCTGCGGAGCTGAGCCTTGGCGTCCTCCCCAGAGCTGCTCCTTCACCGGGGGCCGCGTTTAAGGCAGCTTGGTATGCCGGTTCTGACGGGAAAGCGAAAATGTTACTGCAAGGCCAGTTATAACTGATAATTAATCACAGGAGCCAGTGTCTCTGTACCATGCACTTGGTGATACGCGCCTTGTGTGTTACAGTAAATTTTGCACAATTGCTTGGCTCTTCTGGGTGAAGGGGAAGGGAAAAGGGGGGAAAAAAGGGGGAAAAAAAGGGAGAGGAAAAAAAAAGAAAAAAGGGACAAACTTTCATCTTGGATGGGGCTCAAGCAGGGGAGGGAAGTTCAACCTGGAGGTTTTTAACAGGGTGACTCCCTACCAGGAGATGTTTTGCCCTTCTGAAAACTAGTTTCCAATTATGGTCTGACACTGATGGATAATAATTGAAATATTGTGTTAGCCAGATGAGGAGTTAATTTTTTTTTTAAAGTAATATTTGACTTTCTTTTAATGCTGGATATAAAATTGAATTAATTAATTTACCTGAGAGGCATTGTACTGTAAGAAAAGGGAGGGAAAGTAAATAGGTTTTTGTAGTTTAAAGAACAAAGCATGCCTGAATGCTGACCATAAAACAATATTTTATTATTAAAAAAAAAACTTTAAATCCAAGGAAAACTCCAAAGACAGTTATTAACCAATAGCGGTTGTCTGTGGGCTACCATTTAAGCAGTATAGCCCAGGACAGGATGAAGGCATTTGAATAAGAAATATTTTGATATATCCTGTAGAGGGACCCTGATTACTGCTGATACAGTATGCTGGTATAGAATGTAATCAACGTAAGGCAAATAAGCAACTCCGTTCAATTTTCCATTCTTGAAAGTAAGAAAGTTCATTTCCTGGTAGAGATGCACATTTCAAAAACACTGCTTGGCACTAGCAAGTGTGAATTGCTACCGCACTGCTTACAAACATTATCACTGCTACTCTGTGCCTGTCTGTGATACATAACATGTTTGGTTACACTGATATTAGGCAATGGCATGGAAAACAGTTATCCTAATTGCCTACTGTGTTATTTTAGCAAGAATTAAATTTTAGGGGTGGAGGAAATGTTCTTTACATTTCAGCCACAAAAGAGTTAACATAACTAGATCCAGATAACAATCAATTGATAAATGATGATTGAACCACATAGATAGCACTAGTTTGCCTGTTTAGTATTAGATCTTTTTCAACAGATTTAGACTGTGTGGTCTTTTAAATACCAGAAAATGTTCAACACTGACAAAGAAAGGAAATAAAACTAGATAGAAGAGCATCAAAATGTGTGAGGGGGTAAAATAATTTGAGACAACTAGCTTATTAAACCAGATCAAACATGTATACACTCAAGCTAGGCTATTTGATTGCCATTTTTCTTTTTAAATAATATTTTTTATGTACTAATTCTTGAATGTTAACTGGATTTTGTACATTATTGAACATGAATGCCCATATATTCTGTATAGAGTGTGAGAAGTAATGTACTAAACGACTAAATCTGTGGTGGATGCTGCATCAGTGTGAATTGGCATACATACACAGTAGCACTGAAAAGGTGGTAATGTCGAACAGATTTATTTCTTAAAAGTCTGCTTGTGACATGTTTGCGTACTTGTTAATCTCCTTGTCCTATTTTGTTTGTTTGTTTATCATGTGCTAAACATATCCAGTGCAAATATGCTTTCATCATGATTTAAGAGGAGGGTAAATTATTTTGCTAAATGCATTTCTTTCCTCTTTAAGGATAGCATTTTTGTCTTAAATTTCTGATTTGTTGGGACTGTTGTAACTTGCTGGGTTGCACATACAGTGTGCAAGTGCAGTTGCAAATTTGTGTCTAACCACCAGTGTTTCTTTGTAAATCACTAAAATTTTGAATATTGTTTTCTGTTATCTATTTTTGTTCATTTGGTAGTCAATTTTTTTCAGTCCATCTTCTGGAAATGTAAGTATTTTTTCAACTTTTCTTGTGCTTTAACAAAATTTGTTTTCATGAGTACAAATAACATGAAGTTATGAAATGTACATAAGTTGCAAGCAAAGTTTGGCATGGTTTGAAAGAACTGTTTAGTGAAACTTTTCCAGCTATACACAGTAATGCTAGAGACATTTATCTTTTAAATTTCTAAGTGTAATGCTGCTTTTCCACATATTTTTGGAAGCAAACAAACTCTAAGCACCATCACTTTTCCTTGGAACTGTAACTTAATCTCAAGCAGGTTTTTAGTGAGAAAATTGAAGCATAGCAAGAAGATTTATTTAGAACAAAACAAAACCTTTCAATCCCTCCCTCCTCTTACCTCTCAGCTCACACTGCATTGTTATTTGCATAATATATAGGAGTAAATAACTTTCCTCAGAATAAAATCAACTTTATTGTGATATGTGTCTTAGAAAAATTAGCATTGATTGTACAAGTTTGGGCTATTAACAACAAGCATGATGGTAATTTTCGACTATTTTAGTTCGCAAATGGGAGTACAAAAAATGGTATCTCCACATTCCAGAGCAAATTTAGATTTTGGTGGGGTGAGAGGGGAAAAGGAATACTATCCTAAATTACCTGTGAGAAGTTTATGACATGGCCACTTGACTGCATTGTTTTGCCTATGTACCTTTTGTCCATGTAAAAGTCTGTGATTTGCTTGAAAGAGGTCATCCTTTCTGTATACAGAAGAATGTCTGATAACCTCAAAGGGCGTAAATCTTAACTTTTAAAAAGGAGTGCTTCTTTGGGTCACTTTGATCAGTGACAGGTCGAGAATGAGCAGAAACCCTTGGCTTCTTTTCCATGCTCATCTGGTTAGGTCCAGGGCACGCACTGCCCATTCTAGTTCTGGCAAGGAGTTGTTAACAACAGAAAAGAAGGTCTGGGCTTGATTGATTAAAAAAAAAAAAAAAGCAGGCTTTTGTGATTGTCTGCTTTCATAAATGTTTTGTGCATTGGTCAGAATAAGAAATGCCATTTTTCTTCATACAGTTACCTTAAGGGCTGTAATGTTCTCAAATATTTAAAAGTCATTTCAGAAATGACACTGTAAGAGAAATGGCTGTAACCCACAGTGACACCAAATGCCAGAACCATCCACCTTTTTGTTGAGAAAAAGTATGTTTAATCCATTTCAGATAAAAAGGTAGTAGCCTTTCCAGAAGCTATTTTCAACATGAGAGTAGAAAAAGCAGTATACAGAATTATAAATGGATCTGTGCATCATTATATAGTAATTTAGGATTCACTCAATGATGTAACAAAATTAACAACATAATTTCATTGTGTAACTGTATCTTATTAAAGAACAACTGTCTGACATTCTCTTACAGTTGCTTTATTTAACTTCATGCAAATATTATTAGTAGTGACATTTCTCTATTGTACATTAGATTCTCTCATTAGCATGATGTGTTAGTTATCACCAGAGAAATCACTTCTAGATAGGTGAGCGAGAAGCCAAGAAAACGAAAAATTAAATCAATGATGTATATTAATATAGACGCATCTGTTCACAAGAGATATGGTACAGTAAATTCAACTTTTTCCCTTGCATAAATGCATGCTTATTCCAAGGAAAACTAAATAATACTTGTAATATGTGGAGTATGCGCTTATATTACCAGAAGTATGAAATTGCATACAACGTGCACTGCCTGTTTTAAGCTGTGCTTGTATTCTTGCATCTGATAGTTCCTAGCATTGATGTAGACATAGGCACATAAACTGTTTATTGAACCTGTATTTAAAAATAAGATAGTAGTGTAATGTCGAATGGATTGAAGGTGAAAGCTTTTTAAATGTTTCTGGGTTGCTGGTCATAGAGGTTGTATGCAATTTTAACATTTATTAAATAATTAACTGTTTTACTGTAGTATATAACTATGTACATGTGAAAAGAGTTCAAACTTAATTTGACAACAGGCTGTAATACCATACATTGATTTACTATGAACATTTTGAGAGGAAGATTAGCTTTGGTAAAATGCATTTCATAGTTTAAAGTAGCTAACAATCACCTTTATAAGTATGCATCAGAAAATATAATAACCTTACAATTTTTATATATACATATATATATATATATATCTATATATATATCTATATATATATATCTCACACCATTTTAAAGATGAGCTGAGCCCTGTTGGGTTTTTCTCTATTTTTATGCTGTTTGTGATGAAGTTAGTGTGTTAACATGATTTTAGAAGATTTATTGGTTACATTGTCGTATTTCAGATACTTGCTTTAATTTTTTTGGGGTATTTTGGTAAAGCATGGTTTAAACGTGTACTTGTCTTTTTATCAAATCAAAAATATTTACATCAAGAATTTTTTGCTGCTTCCAATGTA